ATTTATGTAACTTACACAGGATAAAATACAGCTGATGCAAAAAGCTGAATTGTAGTCTAAATCTAGTCTCTGTATTATGCAGAGGGTTCTGACCCTTGGATATTGAGATTTGCTGGAGGTGTGAACTCTGTTCAAGTTTTAATTTTTACCCAGCTGCTAACATTTGTGCGTGACATACAATATGCGCCTGTTCGATGCTATGAAGCTTACCGGAAATTGCCTGTACTAAAGACAACCATCCTGCACTGCAAAGAGAGAAGTTACAAACGGAACAAGGCAGCTGGGAATGTGATTTCAATATTTGGAACATGAACTGAACAGCTGCGTTTACTCCCTCCGCTGCCTAAAACCACAGGCAGACACCAGTCCTAAAACAGTGCAGAAAACTAATATTGTCATTCATATCTTCTCTTTCTGTTTTGCTGAATAACCTGGTTGAAATTCTACTTCAATGGGAGAAATTCCAGATGGAGCAGTGAAGAGAGATGAGAATCAAGCGGATTTGAGTTGGAAGTCAGTGGCCAGGCTCGCCTAAATCTAGCATTTAAGATAGAGGTGACCTCCTGTCGGCACAAGTTTCTCCATAGCTGCTTCTCAGGTCCGTCTCCCATTTAATCCTTGAACCATCCAAATCAAGTGTTGGTAGCATTGACATAAGGGCTGTACACATCCTTGAGATAGTTTTAAACAACTGCTGGCTTGACATAGATGCCTAATAGGAGATCTTTATTCATCAAACTATACTTCTTTTGTAACTGGCAATCTCTGTTTTAAAAAAATAATTTAAGAAATGTGAAGAAAATGATTAATAAATACCTAACAATGCAAGGTAAAACGACATTTATGTCGATGTTGAGTAGATGTAAACTTATGAGTGAGCTATTCCTACCCTCATTTCTTGATCATTATCTCATTGTGGCATCTGAAGCTTGCATAAACTTCCGTGAAACATTGTTGACAAATGACTGATGCCGTTTGCCCAGCTTTCCACTATCAAGTGCATGATCAAGAGAAACAGGAATAGGTGGTGCTTTTTTTAGCTCTCCAACTGAATCCAAGGAATGTACACATGGCCCAGTCACCTGAGGTGTATCAGGAAAACAAATGGCGTATTTAACTTACCAAAAACACAGCATGTGGGAGAAACAGAGAGAAAGATATATACATGTAAATCTTTCAGGCTTACATTCATAACATAGTAATGTGGGCTATTTACATTCCTCACCTTTACGTCATGTTTCTTCTCTGCCTCTCTGTCCTTTGTGAGAAACACTTAGGTGTAAAGAAACATTACACCAAAAACTATAAAAGGCATGTTTGAAATGACTTATCGCCACATTTCCAATTACACATAGAAAGGGTATCCTGCAAGAAATATTTATTAGTCATAGAATCATGCATTACACCAGCTATCGGTTGCAACAGAAATTATGGTGACAGAACAACTTAAAAATTGTAAACGTTACATATCTTTTTTTATCCTCACCTGATCTTGTCTTTCTGTAGACTGTTAAGGTGGAACATGCTGGCAGACGTAAATCTATATTTATAAACTAAACAGGTACACAGTGTGTTGGTGCGTCATAAAGAACGCATAAATGTGAAGTTCTATCAGTGAACCTGAGCAAAACTCACTGGTCTCCTTGCAAGAAGAGATTATTTTATCATCCTAGATTATCTCAAAAGTCATTTTTTAATAAATTTTTGAACTACTGAGACCTATTTACAGTTTTTAGCCTTCCTACCTTTGTTTTCATTAATTATTTTAAGATCAAAGGTCACATAAGGTCATGGAAAGATGCTGAAAAACACAAGGTGTTGCGCAATTTAGTGCGTTTCGGTTCCATTAACAAACAAAAGAGGAAAAAAAGGCGACTCAAAGATCGACTGACGAGCAGAGCAGGAGTTTAAGTTAGCTGCTCAACACCGCTGTGTTCATGAGAAGCTTATTAATAATCGAGAAATAATATCGAGTCTGGAAACCTGATATCGTAACGAACTGAATGTTGTGTTTTTAAAATAATCTCTGCTCGCCTTGCGGGGCGCAGGCGGTTGCCACGTCAACGGGTGTGCTTAAACAACAAAGAGACAGAGAGTAAAAAGGTCGGAGTGGTTTTGCGTTGATGCCTGTTCGGGTTGTTTTACCTTTGTTTACCTTTGCTGTGGCTCATCACACCTGCTGTAGTTTCCGAACAATAAACGACAAACTTGGACTAATGACCTCGTTCGTTTGTGAGCATACGTCACAACAAACATCAAATAGGACAAATATACCTCAGTGATTCTTGAGAATAGGGACAAAATGGGTTTTAATTTTCCCATAATTTTTTTGTTGTTGTTATTTCTCAACCTTATGTATGCAAATATGACAAATAATGTTGAGGAAATGTAAAGATGCTAAGGTACAGGCTCCCAGTTGCAACATTTTTTTTAAAAATTAAATTTTTAATCGACCTGGCCTAGAACGTTGTCATCACCATCTGACAAAAATAAATTAAATATAATTTTTAATGACCCTATTAGTGATATTTTTTACTAATTTTACAGACAAATGCTTCTCAAGAAACAAAAGAAATATTATGTAAAACAATAAACAACAAAAAGTCCATCTGACGGAGTTGACACTGCATGACGGAGTTGACAGAACTGAAGGTGGTGACAAACTAGTGAATAAAATGAAAAACTTGGTACATGTTAAGTAATGCAATTAATTTAAAATACATTAAAATGAATTAATTGCACATTTAAGTGAGATTTGACAACAACTTCATTGAAAGTCAGAAAAACTCTGATGGAGTTGACATCTGACGGAGTTGACAAAAAGCCAAACTACCTCAATTTATATGATGTTATTCTGATGGAGGTCATATTGTAGCTCATCAGGTCCATGAAATCTTTACATTATACCAAAATTAAGCTTTTATATCACAAAATGTCATCAAAGTTTTGTAAATTGTCAGTTATGGTGTTGACACATCATGGTTGTGACAAGCAACTTAGGAATAAAACAGAAGAAAAAACTAAAGAATAACATAAGCTAACCAGAGCTAAATAGCTCTCTGAGCAAAGGAAGAGAAAAGACAACGTCATGGGGTCCTCAGAAGTTCTGGTGCCCCCCAATAATGCCTGATTTTTCTACATTC